ATTCTTTTTATAATTTCATAAAACAACTTCCTCTCAACACTTACACGGCGATTTCTCCAACATTCCTTAGCTATTCACCTACATCTTCCCAATTGTGTGGGTTTCTATGGTTATTATACCACTCTAATCTATTCTATTCCAATCTAAGCTTCCTGTGCGTCTCCAGTTTGGACAATTTCCTGCTTCAATTTGCGCACAAGCTTTGGCCAAAACCAAAAAAAAAAACATATTGTTCATGAAATTTAACAAATTTTCGGTTTTGTTGTATTTACAAAAAGATAATTATTTAATGATTTATGATAGACCGTTGTTGTTTCATTTCCATTATAACCAAATTGGCTTGGGATTTTATTTATAAGCATTCGCTAAGTTTAATGAAACTTGTTATTTGGCAAATGATGTCATGGAGGCAACGCCTTGAGATCATACCAGATCTATGGGCGAAAAAGAGAGAGACTTGGCGTCGCCAAATTTGTTTTCTGCTTAATTCCAGAGATCGTTTTAGAGATAGTGTTTGGCGTTTGGTGTGGAATAACATATCTCGAATGAGTTTAATGGCTGGTCTTCGATCTCCAACTGACCCACTTAAAGTGATGATGGTATCAATGAAATTGCATTTTTCGTGACTTATTAAGAAAGTAGTCGAGTTTGTAGGAGGTGGGTGCAGGTCAAGACTGAAGTCATTTGGCTGGGTACACTTTCCATTCGTGATCTAACCCGGAAAAATACAACTAGCCCTCGATCATGACCGATGTGGATGTGCTGAGTTCGCGAATGAAGTCTCGCCTTCATCTGCAAACCAAGACTATTGGCGCCGAGCGAATCAAGAAGGCCAAGGACAACAATGAGGACATTGCCGTGCTCAGCATGTTCCTGCCCAACGCCTCCGCCGTGGAGGAGAACCGCAACTTTTATTGCCAACTGGGCGATTACTGTCGCCTCGGCGATCCGCGTGCCAGCAAAGCAGGTAACCATCAACAACCAGCAGTTTCCAAGCGGTCCACACACTCTTAAATCGCGCGTTTCTTAATTAACGACCGATGAGACATCATAATTTATCAATATTACCGTCCGAAAACTATTCAAATTGGCCAGAAGAAAGGAACCGCCCACTGGCTTGTGGCGCGATCCATAGCGTCATCGCCATCGATGGACGATGATGAGTAATGAATACCATTTAAGGGGGGACTCTCAAACAAGCCAGACAACTAATCCATTCAATCATAAATCTAGGGTCCATTAACTTGTGTGTTTAATAAGAAAAGACAACCCATAACATTAACATAACAAAACAAAAAATATAAAGTAAATGTTTTGATTTAAAAGATGCTTTAAAGCAAAACATTTTTGGTTATATGTCAAATCTAGAATATGTTACCTTTGGATTGTTTTAAAATTGAATTAATATTAAAAAAAAAATAGAATTAAGTTAAAAAAATTTAGAAATCATTTAAAGATCATCTTTAAAAATTAAATGTAAATGATTTTATATTAACAAATGTTTTTATGTGCCTTTAAAATATATATTATAAAAATTAAAAAACAAATGATGTATTAGCAAATTTTGTTAAAGTTACCACTGTAATGACTGTAAACAATCAGCTTCTTCTTAAAATTAGTGAAACTTAATATAACTTTTTATGAAAATTTACTTAGGCAATTTAGCACAACTCCCAGAACAAATTTTCCCGAGACTACCTTAACTTTCCTCAATTGTCTTGCTTGGCAACCGCGAATTAAAGAATAATTTGCAGACGACAGACTTAACTTTTCCACTCAATTACCCGCTCTAGCAGACCTATTTCCTCGCAGCGGGAAAACTCTTTTGTCTGCTTATTTTTTGGCCACAAACATTTCGAACACGCAATAAATAAAAGCAAGCAAAAACATAAATAAGAGAGCAAAGTCCTCAAGGGTTTATATGGACTACTAAAGCTTTCATATGCCCTAAATCAAATGGGAAATGTCTTTTGTCTCAGGACTAGCCAAAAATTAGCGTAATTTCTGCATAACAATTAATGTTGAAGCCCCAGAAGAAATTCGGGTGAGGCGTGACAGGTACCCCCGTTGTGGCAAAAAGTTGCATGTCTGGCTGACATAACGAAGGAAAGTTTTGGGTTCTATATATTGAAAACGGATTGTCTTCCATCCACTGATTGACTCTGCCCTCAATCTGTCGTTGTCTGAAATTGACTTTTCCTCCAGATTGAACTGATAGGTTCCGCAGCTGGGTTAGTGGGTTGACAAAGTTCAAGGTTCAAGGCCTTCGTAAGGCGGAAATTGAATTCGACTTGAATTGATTTTCCCCCCCATCCGCTCTATTCCTTCCAGGTACCAAGAAGATGGAGTACAAAACCAGGCAATGGCACGAGAACTGCTTCTGCTGCTGCGTCTGCAAGACGGCCATCGGCACCAAGTCCTTCATCCCGCGGGAGCAGGAGATCTACTGCGCCGGCTGCTACGAGGAGAAGTTCGCCACGCGCTGCATCAAGTGCAATAAGGTAGGAAAGTTGGGAGGCTTAACAGATATTTATTCGGTAGGGCCCAGAAAAAAGTATTAAAGTATTAAATATTTTTAAATTTGTATTTATAGTCTATAAATTTCATAATTTTGGTTTTTTTAATCAATTGCCATTTGGGTTTTAGGTCATCACCTCGGGAGGTGTTACCTACAAGAACGAGCCGTGGCATCGCGAGTGCTTCACGTGCACCCACTGCAACATCACGCTAGCTGGCCAGAGATTCACCAGCCGCGATGAGAAGCCCTATTGTGCCGAGTGCTTTGGCGAGCTGTTTGCCAAACGTTGCACGGCCTGTGTGAAGCCCATAACAGGTGAGTGTGATATATGAGAATATTTAATTCATAATATTTATTATAATTTAATTCGCCCACTTCTGCAACATCAGGCATTGGCGGCACACGCTTCATCTCGTTTGAGGATCGTCACTGGCACCACGACTGCTTCGTTTGTGCCAGCTGCAAGGCTAGTCTAGTGGGTCGTGGCTTCATCACCGACGGACCCGATATTCTGTGCCCCGATTGTGCCAAGCAGAAGCTGATGTAAGTCATCTGCAACGAGTCAGGAGGTTAGGAGGTGGGAGCTGTGGAGGAGCCAGCCTAAATTAGCCATAAACAAGTTCAACGAAATTATGGATCAAATCAGAGGGATACAAGTGGAAAACGATGGAGAGGAAGATGAAGATGGAGATATACAACACATGTATTAAAACGATATACAAGAGAAGATAATGCCTTATACTTACATTAGATATGAGAGAAATTAGCTGAACCAGGAGGAGAAGAAGATGAGTCCTACTAAATCAAAAGCAAATCAAATTTTGTAAAACTTCAAGTCGATAGAGTTAGCTAAAGTCTATGATAACTTTGCTTTGTCTTCACTCGGATAGACCAGCACATCAGATTGTATAGAAACTTATTATTTGTAATTGCATTTCAGAACGAAATCAAAATCACTAAACAAACAAAAAAAAAATCGAAAAAAAAACCCAAAAAAAATCAAAATATGAAATACTGAACCAATTGTAACTATTGTTGCCACATTGAAAAATGTATGTTTATTTATTTATTTTAAGTTTTAACAAAGCGACGAGCGAGCCGAATGCGATGAAAGTTTCCTAATGCTGGTTTCCGTTCTAAACAGTTATATTGTATTAAAAACCACACACGATTTATGTTTGATATGTATTGTATGTTTATTAAAGAGAAGCAGAAACAGAAACAGAAAACAACACACATGCACACAGACACAAACACAAGTCCTAGCAATTTAATTGTTTAGCTTATATTATTTTCGTTTCGATATTTTGGTCCTTCTACGTATGTTAGAGACTCTGCTTACTTGAAGCACTAAATACACACACACACACACACAAATAATAATCATAATTGCGACACAACATTATATCAATGTCCTTAACTATTTAATGAAATTCAATCTAAATAAATTAATAAATTATCAATGAAATGGGTTTGTTTTGTTGAAGAGCTTGGGGAAAGAGCAGATATATGCTAACTTACCATAAACTGGGATACTAATATTATTTGTACAGTAAAAACTATGGAATATTCAAAATTACTTTAAACCGGATTATAACAACTTGGAAATTTTTAAAATTTCCTAACGGTTTTTTGGGTGACCAGGTGCGATATTCAGCTATGAAGGGTTTCTTGTCAACGTTGCCAGATTGGCCAAAAAAGATAAATAAAAGTCTTTGAGCTACGCTTAACAGTCTCTTAAAACTACTTTTGTCTTCAAATAACAGTCAATAAATCTTTTTTTAGGGTTCAGAATTGGACGTTAAAAAAATATGTAATAGTAAGATTTTGTAAAGTAAGTTTTAATACTTTTCGTCTTATTATTAAAGAGAATGAAATTATTGGATATATATATTGTTATTACCACAAGTCATTACAAGCGCCTTCAACTCTTTAAAAAGAATGAAACCAAAAAAACAAAACTGTTTAAACAATGTTTTTGACCCATATTATTTCTGTTTACTTATCCTTTAAAGTTAACATACTTGATATTTTTGTTGGACATCTTTAAAATGATATTTTCACTCCTAAGAGAAGTCAACATTGCAAACCTTTTATATATAGAGTATGTATGTATAAAATGAATCAATGTGAACCCTTCTCATCTCTTCAAGGGAATATAACACTTTCACTGCCCGACAACCCAGACGATATTGGCAATACACATCGCTTTCGGGGCCAGTTGAAGAATAATATAACAGAAAATTGACAAATAAATGCAAATAAGTAACTCAAACAGCGAAAACAACTCAAAACCAAAGCGCAGCGAGTGCTCAGGGCACGTCTCAAAGTTGGGTTTGGGCTTATTGGCCATGTGCCAAGCCAAGTGCCTAACCAAACCGAACAAAGGTAAATACAAACAGCACTCGATTACACTCAAAATGCGTACAAAAAATTGGTAAAATGTGGAGAAAAAGCGCAGCAGTTGGAATAAGTTCGTTGGCCAAGGCGAAGCCGAAATTAGTGCAACCACAGGCCAGGGCCAGAGCGGATCACCGGGAAACCTTCACCGTCCGAGATGCAATTGATCCATTTCACGCTGGGATTGGGGCTGATCTCCACTGCCCTTGAGGCTGCCATTGTCCCGCTGATCGTGATAAAAAACGGCGTTGAATCGAATCAGGCCCTACCCATGGATACGGAGAAGTTCGGTTATCTGGAGTTCAAGCCCAATGGTTCACTGATCCTCAGGCGGGCACCCAATCAGAGTGGCAGTAACCTGCAGAATCTACTTATGCTTCGTGGAGTTCTTCAAGCCCTCAAGCTCAATCCCTCGAAGATTTCCGAGACTGGTGTCGAAACTCGGTTCGATTTTAAGATCTATGGCGATGGAGTGGAGCACAAGTTTCCACCAATACTGGAGAATATCATCCAACGCATTCAAACGTACTTTTCGATCTATCGATACACGGATACCAGTAAACCCCTACAGCGAATTGAGCCCACTACCCAACCGACGGAGGAAACTTCTTCTGATTTAGTAACTACCTTAAAAGCGGAGGATGAGGACGAACTGATTGTCGTTGGAGAACAGGATGCCTATATTACAGTGGGAGACGATGCGGATTAATCTCAGCCCTATTTATTAGATATTTATTCCCATAGCTATGTAAGTCAATAAAAGTGCCGTACTCAAAATACTTTTTGGTTATATTCAAACACCCCAATTCGCCAATATCTGGTCACGTTTTGGGGTTACTTTGTATTCAGCGTTGTGGATCGGACAATTTATGATTTTATTTACCCGACCGTGTAATAGTTGCAATATTTTTATGTTTACCGGGGAATTTGGCGGACTGCGCAAGCTCGCCGGACTTTTTGAGGGTCATTGTCATTACGTAATCGCTTAAAAAGGTGCCAAAATAAAATGTAAATTAAAGAAATTTCACGAGCTTTGATATTTCATTGACAAAATTGCAAAAAAGCTGCATAAGATAATATTTAATACAATTTATAGGTATATAAATCACCTTTTAAGCAACTACAAAGACTCTTTTTTAAAGTTTTATAGTCCCTTTAAAATTTTCCCACACATCCCCGCCCATTTAGAATTTCCACTCCCTCTTTTCTACATTTTACATTCACTTTTTTATTGTTCTGTTTTACGTTTTCAATGTTATGGTTAATGAATATGTAATGATGATGATGAATACGAACGCTTTCGTGATGATAATTATGAATGAATGTCTCTTTCTCGTTTCGCCACTGTTAATTAATGTCTGGAAAATGGAAAATGTGTGTGTGCGGATGCGTGTGCTCTGTGTTAGTAATTAAATGTACGATTGGTGGGTGTTGTTTGCTGGTTGTGGATGTGGATGTGGGGAAACCCCATGGCCCGGTCATCTATGCGCCGGGCCAGCTTGTGAGAATCAGTCGAAGAACCAAAGCTGCCCAAGGGATGAGTGTGAGATTCAGAGATCTGGATCTGGATCTGGATCTGAGTTCTAAGCCAGCGGCTTAATGGCATCTGCGGCGATCTCTGCTGGCTGCGCAGGAATGATCTGCTGGATCTCCTGCTGCTTCGGCTGCTCGGCCTGGATGGCCTCGGCGGCAATGGTCTTGGTCAGCGGCTCCGGCTGGATGGTTTTGGGCAGCGGCTCAGCCGGAATGGCCTTGTTCAGCTCCTCCTGCTGCTGAATCTTGGCTGCTGTGGCGGGGTGGAAACAGGGTTTAATTTGCACTTTTAGTTTGATAAACTTCATCCAAAGGCGACTTACGATCCTCTTTCAGCTGCTCCTTGGCGATCTCGGCATCCTTCAGCTCCTGCTTGATGGCATTGCTCTCCAGCAGACGTCCTGCGAACTCGGCCTTCGGCTCGCTGGCCTCGGCAATGATGGGCTTCTGTTGCTCCAGGGCAGCCTGCTCCAAGGGCTGCTCCGTCAGCTGCTCCTTCAGCAGTGGCAGTGCCTGTGGCAGTGCCTGTGGCTGCTCCTTGATCAACAACGGCTGCAGCTGCTCCTTCAACAAGGCCTGTGGCTCCGGCTGAATCTCGGCCTGTGGCTCTGCCTTCAAGGCCAGTTTCAGGCCAGCATCGGTGGCCACCAGTTCCGGTTCCGGTTCCTGCTGGATGCTGCGTGCCCGGATGGCCGAAATGGGCCAGGTGTAGACGGGACCATGGACCACATCCACCACCGGCGTGTGATACACCTGGGGAATGCTGTAGAAGTGCCGGGCCTCGGTGGCAATCAGTGGCTGCGTGTTGGCCGGCGTCTCGATCAGCTCAATCTTCTCGCTCTTCAGACCCTGCAGCAGTTGCTCCTCCTTCTTGGAGCCGCTGGGCGGGAACAGGGAGGGAAAGAAGCCCGCTCCGGCGGAGGCTGCCGATGCTGCCGCCTCGCTCAACTGGCCACTCACGATCTCGACGCCCTGCTGCGATACCTGCTGGATCTGGTTGGCGATCTCGCCCGTATTCTCCCACTGCTTGGTCTCCGGCGCACCACCAGCTCGACCAGATCCGACGGCATCCACAACGGGCACCACCTGCGCTGCAGTTCCGGCCGGCACATACACAATGGTCTCCTCGTGGTGGTGCGGCGAGGACACGCGGGCCAGTGGCGACAGGCCATGGACATAGCGGAGGGCCGGCTCCAGATGAACCTGCGCCTGCGGGGTCACGATCACGATGTGCTGGGCCGTGGGCTCCAGGGGCCTGGCCTGACCACCCATCGCCGTCAGGGCCAAGCAAAGGGCCGCGAGGAGGAACATTCTGCAAAAGGGGGGAACAGATATAGATCGATCGCAACAGGCTGCTGATTGTCAAATAAAATAACAACTAAAAACTAAAAAGTTTTTTAAAAATAATAAATACTAATGAATAATAATAAATTCATATTTTCTAATATAATTATCCTAAAGCTTATATTGAACAGTGCTGTGATTAACCAAGGACACAAACTATAATAATAGAAAAAGGATTCAACATTGTAGTTTATAAGGATGGAAAGGAATATGTATATTTATGCGATCTTAAAAGGATTTAATAGTTTAAAAATATTTCATTAAAATGTACCCTTTGAACTTAAAAAAATTATTATTAATTTTTCACTTACACCTTAAGAAATCTTTAAGTACTTTAGGCTAAACAAAAAAGAATACTTTCTTAAACTTTAAAGGGAATCTAATTATCGTTAATACCATAAGAAAGTACTTTAGGTTAACCAAAAACCGAGATGCACCTTGAAAGTTAAATTAAAATTAAAGACATTTTAACTTCTAGAACGTTGTAATTAGGGCGAAGCAGTTACACAATGTTCGGCTCAGCGAACATCGAGTGTATAGCATTATCTTCTTGCCCCAAGTGCTGCAAACGGGTCTAGGCGATGGGCTATTTTTAGCCAGTCTCCTGCCACAGCACCAAAGTCCATTCTAAATTTAACGTTATTCTGTGCGTCAGTGTGCGTCCGTGTGTAATTGCATGTTGCCTGGTCGGACAGGATGCTCCGCGTACGTACATGGATCGAGGGACTATCAACCGGTTTGCAATTGATTGGCCAGGCCATTGGAACTTCTTCGCCAGGCACTTCTAGTGTAGATACTAGCTAATGACTGGAAGCAGCTTTATGGCTTAAATCGGTACTTGATAGTCAAGTTTGTCGTCCCCCACCCCTCGATGTATGTTCTTTGTGTGGTCCAAGTGCTTGCCAAGTTCGTTGCTTAAGTCTTTTGTTTGTGGGTAAGGATACAATTCGTTGTGACTAGGAATAGCTAAGAATGGTGTCAAGTAACACTGATCGTTATTTTCAATAAGTAAGATCCATAAACTGAATAATTAATTTAATATGACCGCGACAACTTAAACAAAATCTTAACTGACTAATAGAAAGTTCATCAAACAATCCCTTATTAATAAGAATACGCAGGTTAACAGATTTTAAATATTTTGTATTTGACAATTAAGATTTGAGATTAGTTGTAGTGGTCATGGTGTTATAAAGTCACTAAAAATATATTTATTCATATTCTATTTTATGTTATACTGTTATGTTATACTTTTAATACCTTAAGCCCTTAACTTTTAACTAAAAATTCGTACTTATTACTTTTTTTTATTTTTCAGCCTAAATGAATTACTAAAAACTACATTTTTGATAGAAATAAACCAAAGGATTTATTAAGTTGCGTACTGCGAGAAATTTTCACAATTAAAATTAAATTATTAAAATAAAGCTTCTTTATAGAAGTAGGTAAAACAAACAAAATAAAGAGATAAATTCAAATTAAAACTGGACAAATTTGTGGAATAAAAAGCAATTTATTGTCTGATTAGTAAATATTCACTCGTATACATTTTTACACTTTCTTGCCTTTTACACAAAAAAAGCTTTATATTTCTTTGGATTTTACTAACGGATGGTTTTACTTTCCTATGACGATTTAATCACTCTGAAAACTGTCTAGCTCAGTGGCTTAATGAAGCTGTTCTTTTGTGACCCCATAAAAGGGATTTAAGAGCTTAGCAAACAAGCTCGAATTACGCATTCTAACAGAACTGAGCCTAGGCATTACTTTCTTGAGCCCGAGACGAGCGTGGATGTGAATTAAATTACCTACCTTTTAGTAGTTTGATGGCCGTTCTCTGCTTTCCCAAATCTGAACAGGTAGTGGGTAGAGTTCTCTGATGGCCACACGATCCGCAATCCGCTCAAGCACAATCTAAATTATCACTAGTCAGTCTGAACACAATGGCAGTGTGGCACAGGGCTCAGTCTTCAGTGTTAGCACGGCGACCACTTCAAGGAAACTGGTGGCCAACGCAGCCCGGCCATGGCCTTTTATAATGTGCGGCTGCCAACCCCTCGCCCTGACCTACGCCAAGAACAAAGAGCTCAAGAACTGACGTACTGAACAACTGAAGAACTGAGAAACTAAAGAACTGATAGAACTGGAAATGCACAGCTTCCCGCAGGAAAAGCCAGGGGAAAAGATGGGGCATGCGATGGCCAAAAGGAGCTGGATGGCCAGCCACTCGCTGCAGATACTTTCTGGTTTCAGGTTCGCTTGCCCGCAGATGGCAGATGGTCAACGGAGATGCGGTTTTGGCCTCGGTCTCGGTCTCGGTCTTGGTCTTGGTCTCGGCCAACTTCTGAGACTCTCAAGTTTGTTAAACCTGCCGCGTGTAATAGAAGTCAAGCATGGCATGGGCCATCGCATTGAAGCCGCATTGACGGCCAAAAGGTATGGTATATGGTATGGAGTATGGAGTATGGGTATGGAGTAGCACTAGATATACACAGATGGAGCCAACTGGTTCAGGTGCAAATTGAATGCCTATGCCTTTCTGGACCCTCCATCCGTTGCCCGCTTAGATAATTTATTTTCATGCTGCCTGCCCTGGCGGAAAAGATTAATCAAGATTTGCACATGCTTGCATTCAGTCCGCCACAGATTTTCGCAGTGCGCAATCGCATAAATAAATTTATTTTCGTTATAAACTGTAATCACTTCCCGCAGCAATTAGATGTGTCGCCCTGGCTCTCTGTCACCGATCTTCTTCGATCTTGTCTATATAGCTTGTCTTCATATCTTGTCTTTGATACAAACGCCCGATGGCAGGTTATAGAAACTTCCAGTTCATTGGCCTCTCACGCTGCTTGGCTTTTGCCATTAGTTATGTGTCTTTTAAATACTAGTTTATTGGAGGATTTTAACGATCTATTAGTGTACAATTAATCAACATGCAATTTTTTTTTAGAATATGTTATCTTATCTGTGGGACAAAACAGTACAGTGAAAGACATTAAAAATGTGTTCTCATATAAATTTTAATCATCAAGGTATAATAATAATATGTAAAATAATCTGTAAGATCTGTTCGTTTTAAATTAAATATTTTCCATAAAAAACTTGTTTATGTAAGCCAAGCAAAGAAACATATTTAATTTCCCATTCAAATTCAATATATCCATAAACTCTTAAATAAATCATCGTAAGTAAACCAGTCTAAATGGCTATCACTTAGGGAAACTCGCTAATAAATTCATTTAAATAGTGACATTTTATTGGCAATTCGGGAGCTGGCACACAACATGTTGTACAACGTATACTATAAATCTCAAGGCAATCCAGTCCAATTCGTTTTCCATTCGGTGAGGATCTTATGTCTATTCGGAGTGGAGACGTCGTTTGGGGGCCATGCGAATGAAGGGTGTTGGGGGCGCCATTGCCACCTTCACCTGAGCCTGTCTGGCGGCATAATCCTCGGCGATGGCGGTGCGCCACCTCTCCACCAGGGAATCTCCGCCAGTCAAGTGCACCGGGTGCGGGGTTTCCCGGGTCAGTGGGAAACGGGCCACAGTCAGGGGCACATCGTTGTAGTCGTAGTCATCGCTGGCCTTCTCCGCCGCCAGATTGGGACTCTTGATCACCAGTTGGTTGCGCGTGGGCAGCGAGATGCTAAAGGCGGCTGCCTCCTCGGGCGAAACTCCAGCTATGGCCGTGGCCTTGGGCGAGGCAACGGCCAAGCCATTGCGGCCGGAAAGGGCCACGGCATTCGGCTTGGAGGAGGCCACTCCACCCTCACCGGCAATCGAGAGACCTAAAAAGGGGATTTTTCTGTAACTCAAGTCTGTCTTGAAATAAGTCTATCTTGGTGTACCCACCCACTGGTTTGGCTTCGGCCACGGCGGCATCCTTTTTGGGAGCCATCACCGAAACACTGTCGTTGACATCCTCGTAGGGATCCTCGTTGTTGGGCGGCAGGAACTGCTCGTCCGGCGAGAACTGCTGCTCGGTGACCTCGTCCAGCTTCTGTTCGTCGATCTTCTGATCTGCCGGATTGTTGGTGGCCTCCAGACCAAAGTTCGACGGCTGCTTCTGTGGATTGCCATTGCCATTGCCAAACATTTCCGGCTGCAGCAGGACACTGAAGTCCTTAATTTGGCCAGTTTGCTGGAGCAGGGCCAAACTCTGGGCAGCCTGACCCAGTTCCAGCAGACTGCTGGCATAGACCTTGTTGTCCTCCTCGCTGAACGAGCCCTTGCGCTTGGCCAGCTCCTGGATGGCCACCAGTCGAGCGGCGGCCAACTGGATGCGATTGAAGTCACTGGCGCTGGCCGAGATCGAACTGGTGGCCCCACTGGCCCCTCCATGGCCATCGGCGATGGCCGAGATGCTGGCCGCCGAGATGGTGATGGTGTCATCGGCATCCCTGGGCACAGTCCTCACCTGCGGCTGCTGGCGCTGCAGAATGAAGCTGCCCAGGCTGCCGTCCCGCTGCGGACGCAGCTGGAGCAGCTGACCCCTCAGTCCGCCGTAGTACGGATGCTCCTCGAAGACCAGCGGTGCCGCCCTCGATCTGTGTCTGCTTGTGGGGGTTAGAATCGGTTATAGAGGAGCGTGTGGGTGTGTGGTTGTTTCGGTGGGAGGTGGAAGGTGGTGGGAGTTGCCCGGAGAAAGCGTTGGGAAAGCATCGGGATATCTACAGGGGATAAGCGGCACTACGCGATGACCCAAGGCGCAAGAAGCTGTACAGTTTACTTTTTACTTTATTTACAGTCTAAGGGAATGACACATTTTCATAGGCCTCTGTTCTTTGCTCTTAACATAGGAACATGGGAGAACCGAGAGCTTCAGTTCAGATATACTAGATTATAGGGCACACTTTCAGCAACCGATTTGTAATGAAATTTAGCCAAACTCAACTGAGAAATCGGTTAAAGAAAGTGAGCCTACAATTACAAAGTCCTTTAGGTGAACAGATCCAGTTCCAGATCCGCAGTGGCATGTGCCTTGCCGCCCACACCCGCAATGGCCACCGATTCCGGATTGAAGTACACATTGGTGGGCACGCCCCTCTTCAGATACGCCTTCGAAATGGGCGTGGATATGGCTGTGCCACCATTGCCCACCACCGCCTTGGAATGTGGTTCCAGGATGAGAGCCGCCTGCTTGCGTCCCTGGACGGCCTGAGCCTGCTCCGGTCTGTAGGGCAGGAAGTAGTTGCCAAAGGGGATCTGGGGGAAGTTGGCCGAACTGGTGCTGGTCCTGCCGGTGGCCTCCACTTTGGGCGGTTGTCTGCCAGTCGACGCAGTTTTTCTCAGTTTCTGTGGGGCCGTCTTCCTGAACTGCTGCTTGGCAGAGCGCGAAGTAGAGATCACCAGCTTGCCGGGAATGGGTACGATCTCTTCGATCACATACTCCGGGTTTATCTTGCTAACCGCCGAGCGGAGACCCGAATCACTCTTTAGATCACCAGTTACTTTGTCTGCGGTTCGAGTCTTCGCTGCGGGAAGTTCCTGCAGTTTTTCCGGCTTTTCGATCTCACTGGAGCTGTCATCGGCTAAGCCCTCGGGTTTGGCAGTCGTTGTGGTTGTGACCTCGGCTGCGCTGGTTTTGGCTGCATTGGGAACAGTGGGTTGCACTAGGTAAGCCAATGGGGGCAGCTGGTAGGCGGCATAGTAGGGAGCAGCATGCAGCAACACGGGTTGGTAGGCTCCGTAGGGCGTGAGATGCTGGGCCGGAGCGGTGGCTGCAACCAGTTTTCCGGACTTCGACGCCTCCGCAACGGGCTGCCCCGGTGGCCAGGCCTCCACATTGGTGGTGCGCCAGTAGGCACTTTGGTTAGGATAGTTTTGGTTTAGGATAGGCAAAGGGGGAAAATGGTGGAGAGAGCCGCCGGTTAGTCTGATAATATTTACAGCAACATTTCTAGTGGGGATTAGTGAGGAGCATGCTGGGATAGATGCGGATTAATGGGGACTCTATAACTACTATGTACAGTTTACACGATGAAAGCAAAAGCCCAAACATTTACGAAATACAAAGATTTATTAGAACACTAGACAATAGCAACTATGGAACCTAACTAAATGTGCTAGTTAATAGCTTTTAGGGTTAAGCCTCAGACTCAAACTGGCCCGCCTCCAGTTCCGCCCCCTGATCCTCCGGCGTTGTGGTGCCCGTGGGCGGGGCATAGTAGACCGTTGGTCCCGTGGCCACGATCTTTCCCTCGCGCGGAAAACTCCTCGTCTCCAGATCGGTGCGTGCCAGGGCATCCTTCAGATCCACATTCGCCGGAATCGAGATGACCTTGGCCCCCGGACCGGCGATGGTCAGACTGCGCGGGTGGGTCAGGGCATAGCCCCCGGGACCCACAATTGCGGTGCCGCCGCTTCCGGCCGTGGCCACGCCCCCGGGACCTGCGATCGCAATGCCGCCCTTGCGCACCTTCAGCCGCTGGATGATGATGCCGCCCTCGCGCAACGCCTGTTTCTGGGTGCTCTGCTGGGCGGTGGCCACCTGGGCCACCGTGTGCATCAGGTGGTGGCCCTTATGGGCAAACAGATGCTTCTCCGAGGACGCACTGTTGTCCAGCTCGGCAGCAGTGTTCTCTACGGTGTCCACATCATCCGACATCCCATCGCCATCGCCAGCGCCCTCGTTATCATCATCCCATTTGTAGTCCGCCAAATCCAGGGGCTGATTCTTTACCGGAACGTTGCCCACAATCGCAGGGCCATCTCCGGATGAGGCCGCCATGGGCGGTCGGAAGGGCAGCTTGAATATGTTCTGGAAGGCATTCTTGATGGCCGCCGAGGTTTGGTTCTGCATCTCGGCGATGTTCATTCCGGGCATGCGGAAGGGATTCAAGCGATTCCGATTGGGCATTAGGCCACCAGATGGTGGCAAAGTGGAGCTAAGGGTAACTGGGGCCGAAGTGGCCTTGATGCTTGTGGAGCCCTGCTGTTCGGCTTCCTTGCCACTCAAGCGCACTGGCTTTGCCGT